TCACAACAAATGGTAGCAGAGGATGGTTCCCTCCTTCATCTTTTAGAAAAAACGGGCAAATTTGTGGGGGCGCCCGCCTCACAGAAGAAGAAGGAGGGAAGAGGGACATCTGCGGCCGTGGAAGCTCTGCTGGATGCTAAGAGGAGCTGAGCGCCGAGCAATAAGATTGAAGCTCCGGGACCTCTTCGTCCTCGCCACTGCTCTCTCTACCCGCCCTGGAGCAGCCGCGCTGCAGGGGCCGCCGGGCTGCAGAAGCTTTAAGCAGGTAGACTTACCCGAGGACAAAGAGTGCGGTTTGGCAGTGGCTCACGAATTGAGACGGAAGAAAGGCATCTGCAGCGAGACCACCGGAGGCAGATAGTGGCCGAAACCAAGGCTTTGGGGACGAGCTTTGGTTTAACAGGAACACCTAAGCCTCCAGAAGGGCCAAACCGGGAAGGAACATCCCCAGTTTTAGCGTGACTTTTCCATCGAGTCGAGGAGAAGATTCAAGCCATCACCGCCCGGGCCCAGAGGGTAAGGTGGGCTAGACGGGGTGGGGGCCGCCCCGACGGACGGCTGGGTTTGCCACTTTTCTTTTTGCGTTTTAACCCCCGCCTGCGCCCAGACTGGGGCTGTATCCCTGCATGTCCCTGGCAGGCGGGTGGGTTTTCCTTTTCTGGGGGGCTTAGCACTGAGTGCTATTCTTCGCCCAGTCTTTTGTGGCAACCCAGATTAGATCGCTTTTTCTTCCCCTCGAAAATATTGTCTTCTCTATCCTCCCCTCCCCATTCTGGGCTGGATGGAGGGGGTAGAGAAGACACAAGTGGGACATTTAAAGGCAACACGTTTACTATGGGAGGGTTGTTAAAAGAGGCCCTTTACACCCACGCATTGCGCCAACATCCAGCTGCGTCGGGCCCCCCTCCTGTACATTTCCCCTGTTGGCTTCTGTGAAGCTCCCTATGCCCCCATCCCCTCGGACTTTCCTAAACCTTTCCCTATCCTCCCTTGGGGATTGCTGTGGCCGAGCCGCCCCAAGTGCCCTGCCGGACACTGCTCAGGCCAAGTGCAGTGTGCCCGGCACCCCCTCCCAATATGGCGCTGGCCACGCCGCTCGGGACCCATTTTCCCGCCTTGACCCTTCTTTTCCGCCCCTGGTTTCCCGCCAGTCCCATCTCTCCCTCAATGGCCCTGCACCATCCCTGCACGAGGCTAGTCCCTACTGGGGGAAGCGGGGTTGGATATTCACCCATCCTTCTTCTGGCTCTTCCTCCGGGGGGAAGGATCGGGAGGGACCTTCTCCCAAGGAAATAGAGTCGAAACCTGGGACTGGGGATCCGTCATCTTGTTTTCCCCCTAAGATGGCGGCATCCTAGTCCCCCCCTATCCTATTCCTTAATGTACCCTACCCAATGTTCCTTTTTATTTAACTACGAATTCCTCTTTTTGCTTTTGATTATTTTTTGAATAATCTGTTTGTTGAGTTATATTTTATAGAAAGAAAGATCATCCCATTTAATTAATACTCAAGATATTATGCCCACCTCTCAAACAAACATTCAAATTGGACAAACCACGTCACTGTCCACTGACCTGACTCCGCTTTAGGAATTTTAAGAAGCTAAACATCACAAGCGCCGTGACGAAGCAAGTTCTAAATCAGATGAAGTCAGAAATCCTGCTGTGCTTTGTACACTTAATTTGGAGTTTCGTTTAGGACAATTTTATGTATTCCAGATCAAGTTTTTATATGCTTCATGT